TTCCTCGGTGTTCCATCTTCCAGTGTGCAGATAAGTCTGATGCCAGTTTGTTTCTTCCTTTCCTTTGTAGGAGACAGTAACTAGCTTTTTTCACTTGGAAGCATGTAAAATTTTCTCTTTACCTTTAGAGTTCAGAAATTTTAGCTCATGATTTTACTAAGATGTGCCTGGTGGTGTGGTTTTTTCTCATCAGTCCAGACTGGACCTGGTGGTATCTTTGATTTGCAGTTTCAGGACTCCTGTCAAGTGATTACTTTTCCTCCGTTTTTTTCTGCTTCTGGAACTTTTGTTACTCTAATATTAGGTTCTCCTGGATCTAATCTAAAATTTCTTTTCTTTCCTCTTACTCTTTACTTTTCAAATTGTTTTTTTCCAGAGCTTTGAAATGCCACTGAACTGGATCTCAACAGTGGTTATCCTCTCTTCAATTCATCTGATAGCTTAATTAGTCAAAATGCCACGGCTTAGATTTTTTAACTTATTAGTAATAAAAAACTTTGAATACATGCAAAAGTATAGAGAACAGTGTAATGAACCCCATCATCCATTTACAACAATTATCAACATACAATGTTCCTGTCGTCCAGTTTCAATAATCATCAACTTTGACCAATTTTGTTTCATCTATACCTCTACCCACTTTCCCACCCTCACCTCAGATTATTCTGAAACAGATCCCAGACATCATGTCATTTCATCCTGAAATAATTCAGTTAAATAATTTAGTATGTATCTCTAAAAGAGTGTTTAAAAAAATAAAGCTGGGAGTAAGAGGTTTCCTTTTGGGGTGATCAAAATGTTTTGGAACTAGATAGAGGTGGTGGTTACACATTGTGAATGTATTAAATGCCCCTAGATTATTCATTTTAAAATGGTTATTTTTTTGTGACTTTAACTTCAATTTGAAAAATTAATTAAAGCTCTTAAAAACGAAGGAAACTGGAGGGGAAGAGAACTCCACATGACCGTAAGACCATTTTTACACCTGAACAAGAGCAACCTTTTTTAAAAAAAATATTACCAGAAAATCTTCTTTGTGATAGAGTTGAATCTCCTTAAGTTCTCTTTTCATATTTATAAATGGTATATATTATACACGGCTGTTGTCTTTTTCATCCAGCAGCTTTCTCTTACTGAGTGTGAATTCTGTTTCTTCAGACCAGCCCTCTCTATGACTGCTGGATCCCCTTTTCTAGGCTTACTGAGGCTCAGATCTGGTTGCTGGAGCACCCTGAGCGTAGACATCTGCCTGGTGGTGGAAGCAAAGCAGCCCTCAGCTCGTAGACTGGAGCTGGGAAAGCAGGCTGCTGCCATTTCCCTCCGTGCCCTGCCTCGGCCAGCCGTCCTCCAGTCTTGGGGCAGAGGGAATTCGTTCCACCATTTGGGCTCCTTCTTGGCCTTCAGATGCAGGGACATCAGGCCAGTTCCATACACTCTCACAAGCCTATAGCTCCCTTACCCCAGGAGCTCAGATCTCTGCAGACCGCAGTCTTACCCGGATCTGCCACGGTCCTGTCTTGCCGCGGGACTCTGTCCTCAAGTTGCTTGAAGCTGTGGAGCAATGCTGACCAGGACAGGACTACCGACGGGGAATGTCAGAGGAACAATACGGAGTATTAAGTTCAAAGGAGGAGGGAATAGATCCCTGTGGGACTGAAATAATTAAGGAAAGCTGGGCCTCTAATTGATTTTCGACAGGGTTTTCAACACCATTGAAAGGGTAAAGAATAATCTCTTCAACAAATGGTGCTGGGGCAACTGGATATCCACGTGTAAAAGAATGAGGTTGGACCCTTGCCTCACACTGTATACAAAATTAACTCGAAATCATTCGACCTAAATATAGGTGCTAACACCATAAAATTCTTAGAAGAAAATATTAGGGTAAATCTTTGTGACCTTGGATTTGGCAGTGGATTCTTAAATATGACATCAAAAGGAGGAGCAACAAAAGAAGAAAATAGATAAATTGTATTTCACCAAAATTAAAAACTTTTGTGCATCAAAGGATGTTATTAAGAAAGTGAAACACAACCCACAAAAATAGGAGAAATGACTTGCAAATCGTATGTTTGATAAAAGTCTAGTATCTAGCATAAACGACTCAACAACAAAAAGACAATCCAGTTAAAAAATGGGCAAAGGACTTGAATAGACATTTCTCCAAAGATCTACAAATGCCAACAAGTACATGAAAAGATGCTCCATGTTATTAGTCAGTAGGGAAATGCAAATCAAAACCACCACAAGACACTTCTTCACGCCTACTAAGATGGCTGTAATCACAAAAATGGAACACAGCAAGTGTTGGTGAATGTATAGAGAAATTGGAACTCTGGTACATTGCTGCTGGGAATGTAAAATGGTACAGCCACTGAGGAAGACAATTTGGTAGTTCTTCAAAGAGTTAAGCATAGAATTGCCTTGTGCCTCAGCAATTCTGCTCGTAGGTGTATACTCAACAGAATTGAAAACAGGTATTCAAACAAATATGCCTACACACATATTCATAGCAGCACTATTCACACCTACCAAAAGGTGGAAACAACCTAATTGTCCATCAATGAATGAATGGATTAAAAAAGTGTGGTATATATACACACATATACATACATGTATAATGGAATATTATTCAGTCCTAAAAAGGAATGAAATACTGCTGCATGCTATAACATGATTGAACCTCAAAACATGATAAGTGAAAGAAGCCAGACACAAAAGCTCATATATTATATGATTCCCCTTATATAAAATATCCAGAATAGGTAAATCCATAGCGACAGAATGCGATTGGTTGTTGCCAGGGGCTGGGGAGAGAGGGAAGGGAATAACTGCTTAGTCGCACAGGGTTTCTTTGAGGGCGATGAAAATGTTTTGGAACTAGATAGAGATGGTGGTTGTACAACATTGTAAATGTATTAAATGCCACGGAATTGTTCACTTTAAAGTGGTTAATTTTATGTTAAGAAAGAAAAAGATAGACTGGGCCTCATTGGATACATGAAATTGTTGAGTGGGCTGAGCATTTAAAGTGGGAAGAAAGTGCAGTAAAAATAGAGACTAGGCAGAGTTTAAGTTGAGGCCGAGTCGGGAGAGAGATCGGGGCAGACCACGAAGGCTCTTGCTTGTATTTGAGTTGTTGGAGACGGAGGGTCCCCTCTCCTACCGAGGCAGCTGGGCTTGATCCTGTGGGCGGTGGAGAATCTGACCAGGAGAGGAACCTTGTGAAAGGAGATTATTGAAACGTCAGCATGTACATGGGAGAATTGAACCAGGGAGGTCTCGGAGCTTGGAGGCCATCGATAGTGAACACATCCAGACGCAAGTTGTGACAGTCTACACTAGAGAGGAAGCAGTAGGAAGGATAACTGTGCTTAGTGCTTTTGACGTGCCTGCTGCCGTTCTCTGTGCTTTGTGTGATTTAACTCATTTAATCCTCATGGGAACGCTATAAAGTATGAACTCTTCCCCCCAGTGTACAGATGAGGAAACAGAGGATCAGAGTGGCTAAGAAACTTGCCTAAGGTTGCACAGCTAATAATGTGGCCTGGATTTGAACCCAGGCAGATGATACAAAGCCACTACAGTTGTGATTATGATGCAGAGATGAATGTGAGAGATTTCTTTTGAAGCCCACTCGCTAACTTGTCAAGTTGGGAAGGGAGAAATAGGAAGAAGGGAACTAGGGCCAGAGCAGAGACATTTTCCCCCTGAGCAACCAAGAGCTGATACAGGTCTTCTCCGATCTTCCAAGTAGAAATCTCTAGCTGGCCGAGGGGCCTGCAGACTAGAGCTTGTGGCTGGAGATAGAACTCTCGAGGAGGCCAGCAAAAGGGCTTTCGGAAGGGAAGGAGAACCAGGAAAGTCGAGGGTCTGATCCTCAGCGTCCCTACCTTTCCTGCTCCCCCGACGCTGGCCTCCCTGCTGCGCCTCCTGTGCAGCCCACCCCGTGCCCTGCCGGAACCTCCTGGCGGCATCCAGAGGCAGCTTGAGTCGTCAGGCACGTAGCTCAGGTCACAGACCGCACAGCCCCAGCGGCCACAGTGGCTACTCTTCCCTGGGGTGTCTCTGGAGGTCGGTGTGGGGAGGAGCCTGATCGCTGACCTGCCACCTTCCTGCTCATTTCTAACATTCGAGATGAAAACATTAATGACGTTCCTTTTCTGAGGTTCTGGGAAGAGGACAGGGGAAAACTGTGCTACCTTTTGCTCATTCTTGCTTTTGGTTTTCACATAACACAGTGTAGCTTCGTTTAGATTATAAAATGCCCCCTGAAGGGCTGTGATGAAAAGTTCTCCTCCATTGAAGCTTGCAGTCTTGGGGGGACAGTAAATCATTAAAGTCCAAAAAACGGAAAAGCCACAATTACTACGGTAGCGTCTAACGTCTCACTAGGCGCCCCCTTTCCCTCCGGCCCGCTGTCTACAGTGCTGGGATGCTGGTCTTCTGAGGCCTTGTTAAAACACCGAAGCCCGGAGCCTCACAGTGCGTCGCCCTTCAGCCTGCCCTGCCGGCCTCGCTGTGACTCTGCCTGTGGCCTGGCTCCTGCCAATCCGTTCCCCAAGTGTGTGCCCTGCTTCCCGCCTGCGGCCTAGCTGGTTCCTCTCCCTGGAACGCTCTCCCTTGTCCCGCCTTGTTCAGCTCGTGTGCTTTCTCATCGCTGCCTCTCAATCCTCCGCAGCACCCTGTGAGGGAGACACTGTTATACCCATTTTACAGATATATAAATACGTGTGTGTATAAATGTTATACCCACTTTACAGATATACAGATGGAGCCAACAGAAGCACAGAGAGGTTAAGAATTTACCTACAAGCACACGACTAGTAAAGCAAGCAGCAGCTTCCGAAGCCCGTGCTCAGCTACCATTCAGCCCTAGCTGAGTTCGAAGCGGCGTCTGACTGAGCTGCATCATTAAGCTATACTGTTGACTCTCAAAAGGAAGAAACACGAGGCGGCTTTGCTAAAGCTGTTTTCCTGTCTTTCCTCTTTGGGTCCAGGTGGAAGTGAAGCCATACGTGCTGGATGATCAGATGTGCGATGAGTGCCAGGGCACGCGCTGCGGTGGAAAGTTTGCCCCGTTCTTCTGTGCCAACGTCACCTGTCTGCAGTATTACTGCGAGTACTGCTGGGCAAGCATCCACTCCCGCGCCGGGCGAGAGTTCCACAAACCGCTGGTGAAGGAGGGAGGTGACCGCCCTCGCCATGTCCCGTTCCGCTGGAGCTGAGCCCAGGACAGACCCAGCCACAAGTACTGGAGTAGATAACAAGGAGGGAAAAGAGAGGGCACTGCCTCAGGGCTTACAGTGTTCTGGAAATCTGTGCATTCGTTCTCAATTTTTAAAGAAGAAATGGGTCTTTTTATTATTATTATTTACAGTCATATTACTGAACTCAGTGTCCAGTATAATGCAAAATTGCAGAGTGTATAACGGTACTGATTTGCACTTTGATTCACACCTTTGTCTGCTTGGTACCTTCATTTCTTACACCTGATTTGTCACTCGTGACAGTACGTAGACTGCCATTCTCATCTGCGGCCACCAGGTTGACGTCTGTGATTTTTTGTTGTTGTGTTGTTGTTCTGATTGTTTTTGAACTGGAGCATGCACTTATTTTCAGAAACTTAGAGAGTTGCCCCTAGGAGAAGACTTACCAAAGGTAATGCTCGGGAGTAGGTGGCAGATGTAGCAAAAACTTCACAACAATTCAGCAGTCATTAGTTGGGGTCATTTAGAGTAAGGATAACCCTTAATGAAAATAAGCCTTTAGTTGCTCTCTATTTTGACATGTAAGGATACCTCATAAGCTGAATCTTTATTTTTCCTTCATGTTTGACTTTTGTTTTGCTAAGGATTTTAGTTAGATCTTTTAGTGTTATGTAAATTTATGCTGCAATAGCTTTTGCTGCTATTAAAGTGGTATTATTAATACCATAATACTCTATTCAGGCTAAAGTATCAATTTAAAAAAAAACCCAACAACACACTTTTGTGATTTAGGGATAGAATCAGCTGCCGGAAGGAGATCAGAAGAGACTTGAGAAAGCTTCAACGGAAGGTCACTATTTCTGACTGCATGTTTACTTAATCAGGTTGCTGCATGCAATAAATTTTATATCCAATGTCTAGTATAAAACCTTCCCACAATGCACAAATTAAGAATCTATATAAGCTATAAAATACTGATTTTTTTTAAAAGATTTTTCATTCAAAGAATTGGTAATTGACTGGAGGAAGGCATGCCTCAATAAATGGAATGCTTCTGAAATTAGGAAGAGCCCATACAGAATGGCCTATATTACAACCAATATAAAAGCTAGGTGTAGGATATTCTTAAAGCAAATTCGTGGATGGTAGATGAAGTACTTTGCGGTGCTCTGTTATATATTGTGCAATTTATTTTATATAGTAAAGTGATTATGTCTAACTGTGATCAAACTTAACTGTTTAAAGCCTCTGTGTCAGACATTAACGAACTTGACAGTTCCTAACTGGTATATTATTAACTAACACATGAGCTCTTAGTTACAATCTCCTAGTGCTTGCACCATTTTACATAGCTTCAGACCTTGTCCAGAAAACCAAAGAGCTCATCTTAGCTTACAAACACTAGGAATATATACAGTATATAGAGATAAGTTGTCAGATTGACAAACTAGGCACATTTTAAGAAAGTTGCGAGATGGTGATGCTAAAGAAATGTCTGTGCAAACTAAGATGGCCTGGGCAGGGTTGGTTGTCTGGGTGAGAAATTAACTACTTAATTCCCTGGGTTTATCCTGTAAAGCTTGAATAGAATGAAGACCTGCTGGGACTGCCATGGACATTTTTAGCATTCACTCTTGGGCTGCAGATAGTAATATATAAACACACACAATGATTGTGAGACTATGTAGATCTTTTTTTTAATCTTCTTCCTATGTTTTGGAATTCTGGGGACAATCTGACTGGATATGACACTGCAGAATAGATTTAAGTCGCTGTGTTTTATGTGCTGTGATGTCCGTGTACTGTCTTAAGTTAATATTGCTTGTTTTTGTTTTGTTCTGTTTCTCCAGTGTTTAGTTGCAATTACCAGCTCTCAAACTATAGTTTGTTTTCAAAAAGGAAAAACAAAATAGTTTTTTACTGGATTAAAAATGCTTATTAGAATTCTCCCCTTTTGAGGTTACCTCTGGGCTTTTTGGTAATAATTGCTTTTTTCCAGCCCAGCTGTGGTTTTCTGTTTGTTTTTTTTCTATGTTTGTGGTTTTTTTCATCTGTACAAGAAATTTTGTTATGCACTACTACTTTTTGTATTCTAGACAGTTTTCAAAAGTTGGCTGAAGATTTTTTTGTTTGTTTGTTTTTAAGGAAAAAGGCATGCTTTCTGACTGACATGATCTTTTGCAATACCTCAATTTTGAAATATAGGAAAGAAAATGATATTTTCTAAGTAAGTTTATTCAGAAAAATATATATTAATTTAATTCTGCAAGAAAAATGATTTAACAGATGGGTAACTTTATTTTTTTCATGCTTATTTGTGTTTTTTGAAAATGAAGAAGTTAGAGCTTTATAACTATAATATTAAAGATCATATCTAACCTACAGAAATCTACCTAATTATGTGAAAGAAGCAAAATGTTTTGAAGAAGCACCCCTCTTTCATGTACTAAAATAACACTGAGATAAAAAAAAAAAACCAAGCTGGGAGATTGTACAGCATAAAGCTAACGTGAAGGCAAAAAACCATTGTTGTGAAGAACAGGTTCCAAAAGCGAAACTCCATTTGGTGCTGAAAGTTGTGAATAGATGGTGGAAACGACTTTCCCTTAATTTGTATATTTATAATCAAGCGTTGATTGTGCACGACTGACCAGGATTGTGAAAGAGTTCTTCTGTTTGTATTTTTTTAAAGAGAACTTTTTTAGTTTATTAAATTATAACATGTTCCCTTTTGTTTTGTAAATAAATGTGCCCCCAAGTTGTTAATGTTATATTAAAAGAGAGGGTCCTTCAAAAAAGAATTATTTTTTAACACACAGAGGTGTTCTGACCTGCAGCTTGACTGGGGAGCCCCTGAGTATCACAGGGCCTGCTGTGGCCTTTCCTTGATGTGACACTTGAACTAGTCGATTTTTTGAAGGCTATAACCTAACCTCGACTATTTGTTGTTATGTGCAATACTGTTTGTACTGTTTGTATAAAAAATAGAAAAAAAAAGAAAAGAAAAAAGGCATAAATCTTTATTGCAGATTTATTTTCATTGCAAACTTTAGACATTGTGATTCACTGAAATCATTTTTCTACTGTCAAATATGTACCTTTTCTTCATGCTGGTATTTTTTCAATAGTAATGTAGCCTTTGTACTGAGACAAATTTTCATTGTTATTTTTAGAAAGATTTTTTGCTAAGAAAAAAATTAAACATATTTACATATTTTTCATTTTATTTCGTATTTTCTTTAAGGAGTGCTTTCTCAATCATTAATAGAGTTGTTTCTGGGAGGGACTTTCATATCTGGTCAATGTCATAATATTATTTTGTATTTTTACTTGGAATAAATTAATTTTATGATGCTAATTCTTTAAAAGTTTATTTTTTTCATTTTCAGTTATTTTTGAAGCTAAAACCTTTGTAATATTGTTACTAAAGTGTCTAGTTTTTTGAAATGCAAAGCTTTATGTATTAACTTGCTGATGTGGTTTACAATAGTGTGACAACGATGAAAATGGTTGGTTATGTAAAGTGATTGGAAAATGTAATGGATAATTGGGTAATAAAATGACAGAATGAGCAGAACATGTGAGATTTTGACAAGCCTTTTCCTTTATCACAGTGGTTTAGTGTAAGACTAGGGATGTCACAGTACAGTTCTCTAGGGATGTCACAGTGGATTTATACAACACCAGGTGCAGCCAGATCTGTGGCCCTGATAATGAAGTCACCCCTACTGAAGTGCCACCGGGTTGAAAACCTGGCTAGGTCACACAATGATTCATTGCTTTTCCCCTCTAACTCTTCATTATGTCGCGTGTGTGGTGTGTGTGTGTGTGTGTGTGAATCTGACACCAGCTGCTGTCCATGTGTGAGACGGTGCCTTTCGCCCCGGCCAAATCTTTTCCATGCATTCATAGTGGTGACGTCTGAGAGTGGAAGGAAGTTGCTGAGAGGACACACCTTCTGTGTGGTTAGACTCGGGTGGCGGTGTCCCCCCTGAGCTGCCTGCCCTGCGGCTCGGGTGGCGTGCTGAGGAAGCACACTTGGGCGTCACCACTGTATATGGACGGTCTCAGACTTCGTCTTCCTCCACCCCCCCAGCCCGTTCCCTGTATCATGTCCCTTCTTTGTCCCTTATTGTGGCAGCACAAATGGCCCCTCCGAGCATGATCTGTCTGCCCTCCTGCTTCTTTTCCAACACCCACCTCACCTTGAAGCTGTGCTGTGAAGGCAGCCTGTCATTGTAATGGCACCTAAGATTAAAACAAACCAACAAAAATCTTCCAACTGCAGAACTGGTGTTGCGTAAACAGAACATCCAATGACTTGCTCTAGATAGATGGCGAGTTTCTGCTAGTCCTTGATGGCCTCTTCCGGTTCCATTGCCACGGAGGCGAGGTGATCAATTACTCGGAGAAACGTGTGTCCAGAGTTGGCTCTTGGGTATGCTCTATGTATTCAGTTTTGTAAATAATATATAGATTAGATCAAGTTGTGATGTAAAATTTTAACTCGAATTGGGTACTACTGGTTGGAATTTTACATTAACTACAAATAAGTGATTAGGAACAGAAGAAAAGAAATTGGAAAATTCTTGCTTAGTGGTATAAAGATTATGCTTAGATTTCTGCCTATATCTTGTGTTTTATAGCTTGTTAGTGAGGCATGGGCTAATGCAGAATGTACTGCATTTATGCAATTAGCAAATAACTGCTAGTTTTCATTTTATCTATTATATTAGCAACAAAATGGCATTTAACTGGGTAAAGCTCCTATCTAAATATTTGAGTATTGTGACATCTCTACTTGCAAGGTTTGAGTGAAAGATTAGTCACAGATTAGTGAAAAAAAGTATCTTTTTGTTAAACTGGCTTATTTGTATGGATTGTTGCTTTTTCACCAGTTTGTATGGTATGTCAGCTAACATTTTCTGTTTTTTTTTTTTATATTAACCAAACTTCTCTATCTCAGCTGCAATAGTGTTCCATTTTACCCACAGAGTATTTTATAATTAATGCTGTTGACTTTATACCCCAAAACGGGTCAAGAAGTGGATATGTGATTTGGGGATGTTTAAATTTGTATGACAGTTAAGTTAATGCAACAAGTAGAAAACTCGGGTGCTAACACAGGATAACTTCTGCTCTTTTCCTTTTCTGGATATAGTTCTGTTGGGGTATAAAGTATTAGGTATTTGTATTTTTGCTGTCAAAATAATGGACATAACTTTTAGAGTGTTCACAGCTAAGATCTCTGTATTTGTTTTTTCAACTAACAACTAATTTTAAATGTATCGTATTTTTTATTACCTGTTCTCTTAGATTGTTTTTGCTAGTAACCTTACTCAGCTTCCGCCTGTGGGGCTTGGCCTGTGTTGCTTGTGTGGAACTGCAGTACTGTGACTGAACACGGAGCTCAATGCAGCTGTTGCTTACAACCGCTTAAACTTTGTAGTTTGGACTTCATTTTTTTTCTGTAATAACAACTTATTAAATCTAGTTGTATGAAGTACTGACACTTGTCATCCTTTGCATTTGCTAAGGAATAACCTGGAGCATGTGGATCGCACCTGGGGTCATTTTGCTCATTCCAATTTGCTCGATTGGCTTTCTGGGGGCGGGGAGAACAAATTCCTTTACGACAGATTAAGTACAGCAAAATTCACCTTTTCTCTGACACAACACTCATTTTAAAAAAAAAGGCACGAGTATATTTGAGACGGGAAGGGGATTGTTGACACAATGTGACCGTGTATTCAGTGCAAGGTGTTTAGAGCTGCAGTTGGGTTTTTATGCCAGCGCTGCCTCATGAAACCAATTCTCAAAATCAAAATCAAGAAAGGCAGTGAAAACGTAAGTACGCCCCCTTTCGTTTTATTTTTCACGCTAGGCCCTCCAATCGTTTCCGAAAAAGGGTCCTTAAAAATCCCAGATCGGTTGTGGCCGAGCCGGAAGCTCTCGTGGGGCGCTAACTTGAATCCTTTTAGAAAACGGACCCCAACAAAGAATCGCCTGAAGGGTTTTGAGGACCTGCCGGGGCCAGCGGCCCACCCCCGGGGTTGGTCTCGGTGGTCAGGTGGGGTCCGGCGCAGGGGTCCCGCAACTTCCCGGCCGCCGGCCAAGAGCGCGAGCCGCGCTGCGCCCGGGGCCGCGCGGGGGGCTCGGGGCGCCCAGGGGGCCGCACTCGCGGTGGGGGGCGGAGGGGGGCGGCCGCCGGCCGGGAGCCGGGGCTCCAAGTGCTCCCGGCTGGGCGGCGGGGCCCGCGCGGGGCCGCTGGCCTCGGGAGGGCTGAGGGTCGGCCGGGGACGCCGTGGGCTCCGCTGTCCCCCGCGCGGCCGCGCCGAGGGCTGCCCGGTGCCGCACACGCTCGCGCCGCGGGCCAGCCCGCCGCCGTCTGCGCCCCCCGTCTCTGCGGCGCGCCCCTTGCTGCCGCCGGGCCCCAGCCTGCCCCTCCCCTGGGTGGCCCGGCGGGTCGCGGTGGCCCGTCCCCTCCTCGCCGCAGCCCTGCAGGTAAGCGGGCCGGGCCTGGGTGCGCGCTCGGCCGCCGCGGCGGCGGGACGGCGGTTCACGTTTGCAGCTCCCTCCGAAACGGGGAGAAGAATATAATGTTTCAGGTCGCGTTTACAATGGATTTTGTGAAAACATATCATACACTAAGCGACTAATGGAATCCTGTTTTCAGAACCCTGGGCTGGCTCGGACGCCACATTTGTCCCCTGGCAAAAAGGCTCGGTTGGCCTCCCTCTTGGAGCGGAGGGGGAGTGGGAGCGAGTGGTGCCTGTTCTGCCTCGGGGTGAAAACCGGGAGTCCCGGGTCCGGGTGCCGTGGGCTGAAGCAGCGCCCCCGCTAGGTCCTGGCGGCCCGCGGAGCGATGCGCCGGCCGGGCTGGGGCTGGGGCGGCTGGGGCTGCGGTCAAGGTGCCCGCTTCACAGGAAGGGTCACTACCCGCAACACGGAACTCAGCTTTAAAACTGGACTTGGGTGGGTTTCACCAGACCCTTGACACCTGGGTCACTGGGGCACTCTCAAATTGGAAGACACATTTTAACTGGAACGTTGTGCTAAATAGATTTCCTAATGGGGCGAAGGGAGTCCAAACTGATGGGTATACTGCTGTTCAAAGGATTGTTGGGAAGAAAAACTGTTTCCTCCACCAGTTTGGGTTCAGAGATTAGGAGCCTGCGAATTAACTGATAGACAGAGTTGCAGGGGAAAAGACACAGTTTATTCCTGTGCAGACACAGCACCCGCAGCAGTGGCCCATCAGCAGTTAGAGACGGGTTTCTAGCCGTCCTAAGGGGGGAACGGGAGGGAGGGGAGAAAGGGCTTCTGTGGGAACAGCAAACGGCTTCTTTAGGAAAGACGGTGGGTTTTTAGAGGAACAAGTGGAAGATGGGAAAGTTGGTGCTAGTTTGTTTATGCAGGTGCAGCGTTGTCGCTGTCTTCCTTCCAGCCAGTGAGACTCCCCCGGAGGGGGCATGATTACAGCCTCCTCTCAGTTTCCGCCTTAGTCAGATCAGGGAAGCTCTTGAAAAGCTTCTTTTTGCATCTATTGATTCTCAAATGCCTTTGGTTTAAGATTTTCAGGGGCCCGCGGCCTAGTGCTTAAGTTCCCGCGCTCCCCTTCGCCAGCCCGGGGTTCGCAGGTTCGGATCAGGGTCCGGGACCTAGCACCGCTCATCAAGCCATGCTGAGGCAGCGTCCCACATAGAACGACCTACAGCTAGGACATACAACTAGGTACTGGGGCTTTGGGGAGAAAAAAAGAGGAAGCTTGGTAACAGATGTCAGCTCAGCGCCAATCCTCCCCACCAAAACAAAACAAACCCATCTTCATATCAACTTGGGGGGACCCTCGGGGGTCCCCACGTAAATGGCTGCAATGAAGCTATCACTGGAACGGGTAACTGAAGTTGCCTTTACTCTGTCCCATGACATAGTATTATGGAGGGAATGGAATTCTGAGTCTGGGCATTGTTGGTGTTTAGAGAAGGCGGCCTTGGCTGTAGCTGCATCGTGCACTCACCTGTGTTTCATTCCTGCCCGACAAGGGTCAGCTGAGGTCAGGTCATTTTCTTCTTTGCTGTTACTGGTCAAATCTTTGGTTCAGATGGTTTGAGCTGAACTGTTACGTGTAAGGGAAACTTTCCAACTTGTCAACTTCAGTGCGGGCCTAAACCAAATGAGACTCCTTGAAACTGGAAGAAAAACTCCCCCGGCAAGGTTTGGTCCCTCAGGTGAGGAGTTGTCTTGTGCGCCCGGCCTCTCCTTTCGAAAGACATGGCCCTTCTGCTCAATTTCATCGCTCCTCATTAAAACCAAAATGCGATTCAAAGACATATCCACAGAATGACGACAATTGAAAAGACTGAAATACCAAGTGTTAGGGAGGGAGGATCTAGGTAAGTGCTGGTGGAAGTGTACAGTGATGCAACCATGTTAGAAAACCATTTCACAAGAGCTGAATCTGTGTATATCCCGTGACTCAGCTTTGTCACTCACAGGGAGATGCCCAAGAGAAATGTGGTGTATGTTCCCCAAAGACACATATGAGAATGATCATGGCGGCACCACTGACATAGCCC